GTGTGTGTGGACCCTGGGGTGTGTGTGTGTGTGTGTGTGTGTGTGTGTGTGTGTGTGTAGACCCTGGGGTGTGTGTGTGTGCGACCCTGGGTTCAACCTCCAAGGAGGTTGAACACCAAAAAGTACTGTAAAAGAGTTCCATAAAGTAAACCCTTTGGGAAGTAGATCAGGGGAGGCAGGGCAGGTCACAGGTCCGGGGCACACGTGGACAAAGGTGAGGAAGGCAGGCTTTAATTTCAGCTCCATGTCCGTACGACGTTTTTGCCTTAAACTCACTCTGGAAGCAACACCCCAAAGGAGCCCCTTCCTGAACTGAGGGCGTCTGTCCCTCCCCTCCAGCTCCTCAGCAGTGAACTCCAAGAACAAGGAACCAGGAGATGATGGAATCCTGAGACACAGCTGTCCTGTTCCCCCTCCCAGGGCCGGTCCTGGTGACCCTGAGCTGTCCTATGTGAGACAAAGACCGGCAGTTTATACACAGGGTCCTGGACCTTGGCAGCTTTACAAGGCGGGAGGAGTTTCGCTTTCACTCCCTCAGCCGCTCTGCCCTCTTCTAATTTCTAAGAATCTCCTTTCTCGTTGCCTGAAAGGTACACTGTGTACATGTCCCAAGGCACAGGATTTACAACAAATAGAAACAGGGCTGTCTTTCAGAAGAATAGTGACTGTGCTTAGAAAGCTCAGCTTCTCCTCTTCCTGGAGTAGAGCAGAATTGGTCTGATCGTAATATCTGCAGAGAGACGCCCCAGGGCTGGAGTTTGAGTGCGGGGTTCTCCCAAGGGTTAGGGAGCTGCAAGCCTTCTCCCAGTGTGCCACTATTAGGTGATGGACCCTTAAAGGCGGAGCCTAGGGAGAGGTGGAACCTTTAAGGCGGAGCCTAGGGAGAGGTGGGACCTTTAAGGCGGAGCCTAGAGAGAGGTGGGACCTTTAAGAGGCGGAGCCTAGGTAAGGGTGGGACCTTTAAGGCGGAGCCTAGGAAGAGGTGGGACCTTTAAGGGGCGGAGCCTAGGGAGAGGTGGGACCTTTAAGGGGCAGAGCCTAGGGAGAGGTGTCTAAGTCACTGGACTTTTAAGGAGTGGCCAATGCTGCCTCGCTAGTTCTAAAGGGGGCAGCAGGGGCTGAGGAGGTGGGGAGCCACCCACCGGGTGTGATGAGGCCGCCCCTGTAACCAGGGAGTGTGCCCAGTCATCGTCAGGCGGGTAAATTACCTCTGGGTACAACCCAGGGCCGCAAGACAGAGGTGTCAGAGAGCGTGTCACACGCAGGGCCTTCCTGATTTTTAGCGCTTTCGGTACCCCGGACAGACCGTGGGCTGTCACTCTAAAGTGTGTCCTACGTGGACACGGAGACGAGAACATCAGGCACAGGAGCCGGGGACCGCAGCCTGCCGTGACTTTATTGATTTCAGCTCTAAGCGGAGACTCCTCGGCTTAGCCTGACATAACCCGTCCTTCGGGGCGCTGCCCTGGTGTGCTGTGCTTTAGTGTGAGGTGGGTACGAACAGTGTGTGCCTTCCGGACACTCTCGCCTCCTCGCTGGCCATCTGGTCCCACACCACCCTGAGAGGGTAGAGCCGTACACGGCCACAGAAGAGCATGCGGAGTTTCTCTTGAGTTTGTGATGCCTCCTAGCGTGCTGGCAATTCCGCGTCCTTATCTTGGCTTACGAAGTCTAGGGAGCTCTGCTGGCCTACACACACAGGATATAAACATTTCTATGTCCTGTGTGCACATTATAAACAGACTTGGTTTAGACTCTACAAAAATAATCATTTTGGACAGACACATGCAAGGCAGGACACCGAAGCCTATGTATAAAATACATCTCTATAGTTTTTGTCTGTTTTAAATATAAATGTTGCTATTTAGCTTCAGCAAAATGGCTGGATGCAAACCCAGGCTCCCCAGTCACCTATAAAATCTGCCTCCATCCGCCGCAGGGCACTGCTTCAAGTGTCCGTCCCAGTGTGTGACGTCCCGGTGATGGCGTCTCCGTGGGTCACAGGTGCACACCTCATTCGCAGTGGGTTAGGCACCCATCCCGAGAACCCAAAGCCGTGTTTTGAAATAGTGTTAACAGCAGATACTTCTTAGAATAGCGTCCTCTTGGGGTCATCTCCAGTGAGAACCGGCCAGTCACCTGGTGGCCGCTCACTGGCTGGCAGGGCCGTCCTCGTAGGGCGGGGACTGGGAGGCCACGAAGGGCTCACTTTGCTTCTGATCCTCCTTCAGGCCGGCCGCCTGCTCCGTGATGGAGGAGAAGGAGAGCTGGTCGTGCTCCATGATGTGAACCTGGTCTTCGTCCTTGTCCTTCTTCACGTAGAACATTTTCCTGAACTTCTTCAGCTCGTGGAGTTCACAGAAGGTCTCCAGGACGACCAGCATGGCGATGAGTCCCAGGAGGAGGTAACCTGCCAGGCGGAAAGCGGGCAGAGTCTCAGTTTGACCTCATCACCGCCCGGTCACGACAGAATGACCCCCCCACACACACACCACGCACAAGCGTTCCCCAGCGGCTCCGCTGCCAGCTTTTTCTAGGAATGTCTGGAGTCCACGGCTCACGGAGGAACACAGAGAAAAACACCGAGATGACTTACCCTCCAGAGGACTGGATTAGTGACAGGCTTCAGGTGTGTGTGAGCTTCATGCACATAGGATGGTGTGAGCTCCAGGCACATGAGTGCAGAGGTCAGAGGACACTGGATGTCCTGCTGTCACTGTCCACTTTATCGCTCCCACTGACCCTGGCACTAGGCTAGCAGCAGCAAGCCCCTGTGAGCCCTCTGTCTCTACCTCAGCAGCACTGGAGCTGCTTTGTATGTGGGTGCAGGGGATTCGAACTCAGGTCCTCATGCTTGCGGTGATCACCCATACCCACAGAGCCATCTCCCCAGGCCTGGCTTCAAATTTCTTTAAGTGTTAAACACTCTTTATTTGATATCAGACATTAAAGTGGTCATTAGCCTTCAGCACTAAAAGACACCGGGAACTGGAATTAAATCAGCATCATCAGGAATGGACTGCTGCTTCCTGCCGTTTGCACAGTGCCTGGAACAGGCCAGGGAACACGGACTGAGAGACAGCTGCCTCTGCCTCGTTCTGAGGGAACATTCCCAGTGTTTAAACACAATCGTATGTCCAGATACATGAATCTAAGTATGAAATCATCCTATTAGCTTTTCAGCAGCCCTTCACCTTGTAGAAAGTTGCATGCTGCTAACTGAGGGAAGTATTTACACGACTGGAACTGCTATTTTCAAAAGGACCAAATCCACCGTACAACAAGTCGGCTCTCCCTAAACCTGGACTGTCAGATCCGAATTAAATTATGGTAACATTAAATTCATGGGACATCTGTTTCGTAGTAAATTACGCTGGTGGAATTACTCCTTACGGTAAGCTATTAGGACTGCAATTTCTCCCTTCTTAATCCGGGGGAGGTCATTTTTGTTCCAGGGAAGCACTACTTGGGGTCTCCAATGCCCCCGTCTGCACTTTCCCCAGGTGATGCCTTTGCTCTGTGTAGGAGGACCCAGCAGCCTCACCTGCCTCCTGCCCACACAGATGGAGCTTTGGTCCAGCCTCATGCCTGCTCCCCCTCTGCACAGTGCCCACTGCTGAGCCGGGCTCTTCTTGCCTTTCTCAAAGTCACCCACTGTTAATTTGCTGCTCAGCACCGCTAAGGCTACGACCTGAAGCCAGGGGTTCCGCTTTTTCCCGGCTCCCCACCCCCTCCTGGCACCCCGCCCCTCTCCAGGGATCCCGTCCTCCTCAGGTGTCCTGCCCCCACCCTGGGTCCTGCCCTCCCCTGTCTTCAGTTTTTAGAGGACTAAAGCAATCGATTGCTGCTAATGTGGCTTAAGTCAAATGACTCCTGACAGTCTCCCAATGTGGCCCTTTCCTCGCTGGCTTTAGAATCAGAGAGTCACAAAACAGTTTTCATGTTCCATAAGCACCTATCCAAGCACTCAAGAGTATTGTGCTGATTTCTGCCGCCTAAGCCTCCTGCCAGTCACTGTCAGTGTTTGGCAAGCGAACCATGTACTACATAACTCCAGTTTTCTCGTTCCTGAGGGATGAGCACTATTTCTTAGAACTTGTGATGGGCAAACAGTGATTTTTAAGTCAGTTTCAACAAAAAAAAAAAAAAAAAATTCACAGAAAGGGACAGGAAATTGGAGCTTCGAACATCTGAAACCCTCATTTCATGCCCCAGTAATAAGGCATAAAAGGAAGATTCCCAAATGCACAACAGGGAAAGGTAAATTTTACACGTTGGGGCTTGGACCCTGGGTACGCCCGGCAGAGTTTTGGGACCTCCGACTTTGATTGTCTGTTTTGACCGTAAGCTGGTGCCACGGTGACTCGTGTTTGGCAGTAGCCAGATCTACCCCCAGCTTGGTTATTATTTAACCAGACTCTGGAATGCTGGCCCAGGTACCCATGGGGTTTCGGGCTACTTGCAACATCGGAACACTCATTCCTTAGATGCGTAAGCGCTGAGCACTCTGAGCATGAAGCCTGTCCTGCTCATCGCCCGGAAAAGGGTTCACCGTGAGGAGGGAGCAGGACGGGAGGGGTCAGCATGCCGTGGAAAGTCAAGACAGCTCACGCATCAGGAAGACCAGGGCAATTACATGGAGAGACATAGCTGTGACCGCTGGGACAGCCTACTTCTCTAGCTCATGAAGAAATCAGAAAGTGAAATGGGGCTCAGGCGATAGCCTGGCAGCTTCAAAGATGGCTGAGCTGTGTCTCTGTTGTCAACTTCACAGAGGGTCTAAGGCTTTTTTGGCCACCGAGGAGGTGGGAACGGAGGTGGCGACTGTTTGGACATGTGTCTTATGTGGGGACCTCAGAGTTATAACCTGTGAGTAACAAAAATGTGTGTTCACTTGGGGCCAGTAATCCTACCTTAGCAAGATCTCAAATATAAGTATAAACACCACATCTCCTCTCCGAGCAGGATCATCATGCTGCTAAATCAGAGGCAGCTTAACACCAGGCCAGGCGGGTGGGCTGGGGGTGGTCCCCAAGTCACACACAGATTCTAAAGTTATAAAAGGTGCGAAACCCTCCTCCCAGGACTCTGGCAAATATTTACTAGGCCTGGACTGTGGCCAGAAGCCTCAGAAAGTGCTGGGCATTTGTGAGCAGGCTTTGTTCTGGTGAGTCTCCCGTTTCAGGGAAATACTGAGACACATGGCTCAGCCAACCACTTCGTGGGATTAAAACAACAAGGCGGGGTGTGGCTCCGGCTTCCTAGAAGCTGGGTCACAGGTGAAGAGGTTCTAGAGAAGGCAGGAAATGGTTGTGACTGTTCGATAACACGCCCTGAGCACACCTGGCGCGCACACACAGAGAACCACCAGTTTCTTCCACCCCATGATTTCCCCACTGTGTGTTGTATGGGCGAGTGTGCATGCAGGCGTGTTTGTTGGTGAGTGTGTGTGTGGATGCAGAGGTGGAGAGCGTCTTCAACAGCCAGACCGAGCAGCCAGCCACGCTGGGGTCCTCCCTAACCGCCCCAGCCCAGCGCTTCCTAGGGGGATGCCAGGGTCTGGCTCGGTGCTCACACTGGTGCGGCAGCCACTTTAATTGAACCTGTGTCACCTACTTCACTTCCCACACATGAATTCTGAAGAAGAGTGATGCCAGGTAACTTCAGAACAGAAGGACGCGCAAGCCAGGCTGGCAGCCACTCTGAGAAATGTCCTAGAAAGTTAAGGAACATGATGTTGACAGCCAGCTGGGGCTTATTTTCTTGTGTGGAAGATATGTGACTGTGCTGAGTAAGTCACCTTGGTGACCATCGACTCCTGTGGCTGTGGCACTGTTTGTGGAAGGAGACACTCACTTGGGCAGTGAAGAGCTGACAGTGTAAACCCTGAGATGGCTCCTTCAAGCCCGGGGACGCTGGGGCCCCGCCTGAGCTGTCATCCCCGGGGAAGCTGGGGCCCCGGCCTGAGCTGTCATCCCCAGGGACGCTGGGGCCCCGGCCTGAGCTGTCATCCCCGGGGACGCTGGGGCCCCTGCCTGAGCTGTCATCCCCGGGGACGCTGGGGCCCCGGCCTGAGCTGTCATCCCCGGGGACGCTGGGGCCCCTGCCTGAGCTGTCATCCCCGGGGAAGCTGGGGTCCCCGCCTGAGCTGTCATCCCCAGGGGGATCAGGTGGTCCGGGGGGCCCTGCTCAGCCCGTCTAGGTGGCTTTGATGGAGCAGTGAGCCAGAGAGACCCTGTGTCAAACTGATGGAAGGAGGTGCCAGAGACAGGACCGGGAGGGTGTGCCCTGGCTTCCACACACAGGGACACCCCTCACAGAAACACACCCATCCGGGAAGCTCAGCAGTGCAGGAGACAAAAACGGAGCCATAGAATTGTGATAGGCAATGGCGAAGAGGAACAGCCACGGGAAGGCAGAGGAAGGGGAAAGCGTGTGGAAGAGAAAGCAAGCAGGCACTGAGGGCGACCGTGGGACCCAGATGACATGGCGCGAGGGAGGAGGGACAGACAGACTCGCCAGGACGGCCTGTGCAGTACTCACACGTGATGCCGATCTTGTACAGCTCCCGGAACTTCTGGTTGTAGCCCTCCCCCGGGACATAGTCCCCCAGGCCGATGGTGCTCAGGGAGATGAAGCAGAAGTAGAAGGACTCCAGGAAGTTCCAGTCTTCCTCCAGCACCGAGAACACGGCGGCCGGGATGAAGAAGAAGCAGGACACCGTGAGCAGCCCCAGCAGGACGGCGTGCGCCACGGCCACCACCTGCTTGGAGAAGCCCCAGCGGACGTGGAAGTGCAGCACGGGCCTGTGGGTGACGTGCACGGTGACGCGCTGGACCACCGCCGTCAGGAAGAGCAGCGTGAACGGGATGCCGATGACCGAATAGACGATGCAGAAGGCCTTGCCCCCGTCTGACAAGGGCACCGTGTGCCCGTAGCCTGCAAGGGAAAGGCTCAGTGAGCACTTGGGAACCAGAGGGTGAGCTGAAACAACACGCTTCGCAGCCACGAGGAGGAGGAGCATGAGGTGCTGGGTGTGAGCCCGTGGAGTCTCGGGCCTCCCGACGGCTGTAAAATTCAACAGTCGAGAGTCCTTAGTGGGGTAAGAGATCTGTGGATCCTCAGAGAGTTAAAGGCAGGGACCCAGACAACAAGAAAGGCTCCATTCACAATGTTCCCGACACCCCAAGGCCAGGCCAAACAAGCTCCAGCAAACAGAAAATCAGTTACCCACAACAGCCAAGAAGGAGCCACCGTGGCCTTGGGTAGGAAGGAGCCTGGGCTCCTGGGCCACGTACATACGTCCCGTGTTCATCATGGGGAGGGTGCCCCATGTTCTTATTCTTATCACTTACTTAAAAACGCAACCTTTGTAAAATACTGCCTGCAAATGCGTGTCCATGTGAGCATGGACATGGATGCAGAGCCCTGCAGAGACCAGAAAGAGCCGCCTGAGGTGAGAGTCAGGGTTGGAACCCAGTCCTCAACGCCATTGCTGAGACACAATCAGCCTGTCACAGGGCATCCCAAGTGTTAGCTCTCTGCTTACACTTGGAGAGTCCACCCGCTCCAGCTCCTGTCAGCCCAGCAGACACAGCACAGGGCTGGGCAGGGGAGGGGGTGTGTGCTAACAGACAGCACCTAGACCTCCTCAGACCAAGGAGTACCCAGCAGGGCTGGGCCCTGCCCACGCCTCAGGGGAGCCTCGTCAGGGTCTACCCAGGGGCCGAACCCCCATCTGAGCAGATGACTCACAGAATGTTCCAGAAAGACTGACTGACTGACTGACTGACTGACTGACTGACAGGCACAGGTGTGTGCAGGGAAGCAGGCTGATGAGAGGGAAGGCTGCAGAGTGAGGCAGACACGGTAAAGGCACAGAAAGCACAATCCCAGTGAGTCACAGGCCTAGGGACACTCTGAACACCCTTGGCCCTTCTCCACCCTGAGGGCACACCCAGAGCCCCAGACAGTGCCCCACAGACATTCGGAGGCCCCACAATCCACCACAAACCACAACAGTTACTCAGGACTCGTCAGAACATAGCACTGTTTTCCTCAACATCATCATCAGAGCAATCTCCTGGGGAACAAATTTGGGCAAGAGAGAGCTCAGCCAGGCAGGAGGCTCTCTGGACCATGTGTTGAGGCCATGAGGGCAGATGTGTCTGAACAAGGTGGCTCAGGAGAGAGAACTAAGTGCACTTAAAAACAGTGAGGTTCTGAAAAGTTAGCATAATTGAAAGGGGTTTCAAAATGAGGTTTGGGGAATGTATCTCGTTTAGAAAGAACAGTTCCACAGTCTTTCAGGTGTAGAGTCAAACTTTCATTCTCAAGTGTCTGCTGTCAAACAAACAATCAAACAAAACAAAACTGTCTTAAGGCCATGACAAAGTTGTTTGCAGCAGGAGGCTGGGAAGACGAGAGGACCCCTGAGGCCTGCTGACAAGCCACCTCATATTCACTGAGAGAGCCTGTCTCTCATGGGAGTAAAAGGTGGCGTGATAGACCAGGATACCCCGTGTCCTCTTCTGAAACACACCATGAGTAAACACACTCACACACCCACACACGCAAATATCCCTTGATGGTCCTGATTGCTTGCCCCAGAAGGCGCACAGCTCACGAGTGAGCCACGGATCTTCTGAAGCCACGTGCAAACGTACATATCCACTCACATACACATGCTTTTGTGGCACGTGTCCCCACTGGCCAAGCGCCATCTTTCTGAGCACCAGTTCCTGACTCCATCTGGTGCCCACACAGCCAGCAGCTCCTGGGAGCTGAGGCTAATTTCAAGCTTGACATTTGGAGGGCCGGAGGGCCGGGGCTTCCACACAGCGTGAAAGATGCAGGCTCAGGCTGCACACGGAAAGGCTGACGGGAAGGAGTGAGAGCGGCTGTCAGGCAGGCCACACTTGGGCCCTGGAAGGCAGGGCTGTCATTGGGCACCAGGGGACTCAGCCAGTGAGCAGAGCTGAGCAGGCTCTGAGGACATGCAGGAGCAGAGTTAGGAGCTTGAGACTGAGGGTGAGGAGGTGAGAGCAGCCGCAGGCCTCAGCAGAGACCTCCAGGGACAAGAATGGCTTTGGCAATTTGTGAAGGAGAAATGGGCCATCTATGGTGGGGGTGAGCGGGCATGTGTGTGAATTTGTTCCCTTCCAGGGGGTATTTTTGAGCCTTAGCCACTTTTGAAAGTCTTACACGAGGCCGGAGAGAGGAGACGGCTCCGGGGCTAAGAGCACCTTCTGCTGTTGCAGAGGATGGGGGCTTTGTTCTTAGCACCAATGGGCCGTTCACAACTGCCTGTGAGTTCATTCCCGGGGAATCACAGACTCTGCTGCGGGGGGGGGGGGGGGACCTACACACTGCGGCGTGCACTAAAAATAAACATGTCAAGAAAGAAGAAACTGACGGCTTCATCACACAGCTGACTGCCCTGTCTCACCTATTTCAATAAGGCTCGAGACCTGGGTGTTTGTGGGGGAGGGGACAGGAAAGCCAGCAGCTTTCGGGGACACGGGGTGGGGAGATGGTCCCTGTGCTTCGTCCTCAGAGCCCGGGAAAAGTTAGGCACTGCGGCGTGCCGTGTAATCCAGGCCGAGGCTTCGGTCGGCAAGCCTCCGCCAGTGAGACACCGTCACAGAACAAGCCATGGCACGTGAGAAACGGTGCCCAAGCTTCTCCTCTAACACACACACACACACACACACACACACACACACACACACACACACACTCACAGCTTGGGTCTATAATTTTCACCCTCACCTTTTGCTACCTCTTTTCATTAGAAGTTGAGGAAATCTCATTTATTATAATGATACTTTCAAGCTATACATGTCGTCACCACATAGCACCTGGATTGGCTGCAGAGAAAACACCTGGAACACACCCAGCTGAGAGACTAAAAATCACAAGCATGAATGGACGCTGGCCCAGGGCCGTTTTGTTTACCCGCTTGGTGTTTGTAAATCACTTTGGAGAGTGGGAAGTGTAAGGGTTAATTTTAATTGCCAACTTGGCACACTCGAGACCCCCCTGGGAGAGAGCCGAGGACTGTCGGGGTCAGGCTGGCATGTCTGTGTGGGCTGCGGCGTCTGGGTCACGCCTGGTGTGGAAAGGCCCCGCTGAGAGTTGGCGGCACCATCCCCTGGGCAGGAGGGCGTGAACTCTGTCAGGCTGAGCACAGGGGTGCTTGTGCCTGCTGCTCTGGCTCAAGACTGTGGAGCCATGTGAGGAGAGGCTTCAGGCCTCTGCCCCAGCGCTGTGCTGAGCGGTCTCTAGTCCGGGGCTGGAACTGGCTGCCTGCTCACTACCGTGATGGAATCTCGGAGAGCAGCAGCCTGGGAGCCCATGGGTGCCCGGGGTGACACAGTCCACCGACGTGGGGATGGAATGGTGGCCGACGGGACTAGCTCCTGTCTGAGCTGCTGGTGTCTGAGCTGCTGGTGACAGAATCATGATGTAGTGAACCTGGGGCAGGAGGCAGGGCTGGGCAGGAAGCAGGGCTGAGCAGGAGGCAGGGCTGGTCGTGCCCTCCAGGGACTCACTTTCTCCAGCTGGGTCAGGTCTCTCAGCACTAGCGTCTCAGGACTAATGGTGCAGACACAGGAGACTGGGCACACTTCACACCTGAACCCTGAGGCTGTGCTGACACGGTCCTCTGGCTTAAATTACCTCCTTGGCATCTCAGGGAGCCTCTGTGGACTCTCACAGGGCACAGCAGAGCATACAGATCTAGAACAGCCTCACCTTTCCCGGCTCCTGAGGGTGCCCACTCCCCCGGGGAGGATGCGCCCCTTGTTTCTTTTCAGTAACAAGACACAGAACAAAGGACCAATACACCTTCTCCATGGTCAGCGAGGTGCATGCTGGGAAGGAGGCCCAGGACGGACGCTCAGGCCTTGAAACCCATTCGGTCACCCACCCGGTGACCTGTGCATCGTCCTGTCTGCCCCAAACAGTGTGGGGTCGGGGACAGGGTAGGGTGGGGGTGGGGGCAGGAGGGGGATGGGGATAGAGTAGGGTGGGGGTGGGGTAGGAGGGGGGTGAGGGATAGAGTAGGGTGGGGGTGGGGTAGGAGAAGGGTGGGGGATAGAGTAGGGAGGGGGTGGAGCAGGAGGGGGGTGGGGGATAGGGTAGGGTGTGGGTGGGGTATGAGGGGGTGGGGTATAGGGCAGGGTGGGGGTGGAGAGGAGGGGTGGGGGATAGGGCAGGGTGGGGGTGGAGAGGGAGGGTGGCTGTAGGCCGCCCCTTGCCGTTTGTGTGGGTGTCAGGGTTCTAAACCCAGGTCCTCATGCTTGCTCTGCCAGCCCTCTTAGACACTGAGTCATCCCAGTTCCCACCTCGGCGTGTTAGCAACACGGAGGCTGTGAGGAAACCCCAGGGAAGCCAGCGGGAAGGACAGACGGAGGCTCTCAGACGGAGGCTGTGAGGAAACCCCAGGGAGGCCAGCGGGAAGGACAGACGGAGGCTCTCTGGAAGCCCAAGGTCACGCTCAGGACTGCTGATCTAAGGCATGTCCTCTACCACCGGGATTTCATCTCCTTCCCCTGGGAACTGCCAGGCACCGTGAGCTGGGAAGACAGACTCCAGAGGTAATTCAAGATGCTGGTGACAAGAGGCGCTGTTTCCGTTAGGATTTACCTTATTTTCACTTGCGTGTGGGTGTGTACGTGGGTGTGTGTACTGTGTAGTACACTCGGATGCCCAGAGAGTGACAGATCCCATGGAGGTGAGTTACAGAGGGTTGTGAGCTGCCCACTGTGCCCTTAACACTGTGTCCCTCCAGCCCAGGCTCCACTTCCAAATGCCGCATTTGCGGTGTGCCCCTGCCCGAAAGAGCCTCGGGTGATCACGAGGGCCCTAAACAGAGCGGTCCTCAGCCCTCATGCAGTGTGATGGGACGGGGATGGGGGCCTGTGGAGGACCCAATC